ATCTATTAAGGAGCCTGGGTAGCACCGACCTCGCCAAAAATTATTATTATTTTTTCATTTAGGTAAAGTATAAATTTATAGGTTAAATACAATTTTAATGCAATAAATAAGATTTAATTAGCTTTGTCATATAGATAATGCATTGAGTTGTGCTTGAAGTCTTGGGTTCAATTCCTCGTATAAGAATTTTTTTATATTTAAAATTTAGTGCCCCTCCACACTAAATATTCTACATCCGCCACTGTGTCCGTAGTGTCATGTATTTACGAGTACATTACTTTATAAGTATACCCGAGAATACCTAAGATTTGGTAGTGGTAGTGGTATTGCCGTACTAGCGTTGGCTTCCCAAATCCCACTTGTAAGTTCTCACTGAAATTGACAGAGCAAGATAATAGAAGGCCTTAAGTAAAGCATTGACCAAATCAACTAGTGACTAGTAGTTGTATTCCAAAACAGAGCACCTTAAGGAAATTCACCGAGTAAATTTAATAGCAACTCTGACCAACACAATGCTATTCTTATTCAAATTGATTTATTGGATGGCACACCGCCATACAGCTGGACCTAATCCCATTTTCGTAAATAACTTCAATAAATATACTAAGGCCCAATATCTTCAACCCTATAAATACTAGGACAATCCCTTTGAATTCTGACAAGAAAAACACAAGTTATTAAAAAAAAAATGGTGAAGTATACATCCTTTTTTAGCTCTATTATTTTCTTCTTTTCTAGAATTCTTCAACAACATTACAAAACTCCAACGTATCTTCATAGAAAAGTAAGCAATATTCGTAATAATTCTCAAATCAAGCTTCAAAAATACCCTTCTTTTATTGGATCAAATGAACTATTAGATGATCAAACTTTGATCTTTAATGTGGAGGAAACTTTGTTAAGATCATCATCTATGTTCCCTTACTTCATGCTTGTCGCGTTTGAAGCCGGGAGTCTCTTAAGGGCATTGCTGCTCCTTATATTGTACCCATTCATTTGCATGTTTAGCAAGGAAATGGGGTTAAAGATGATGGTTATGGTTAGCTTTTGTGGGATCAAGAAAGATGGTTTTGTCGTCGGAAGGGCGGTTTTGCCTAAGTTTTTCCTTGAAGATGTAGGGTTACAAGGGTTTGAAGTGGTGAAAATGTGTAAGAGGAAAATGGGTGTAAGTAACTTACCTCATGTGATGGTTGAGAGTTTTGTGAAAGAGTATTTAGAGGTTGACTATGTTGTTGGAAAAGAGCTTAAAGTTTATAATGGATATTTTATTGGTTTAATGGAAGATAAAAATAAGAAGAAGATAGATAATGTGCACGATCTTAAGCACATGTTAGGAGAAGGTGAAATTAAGGGTTCTAAGGTTTTTGGTATTAGTGGCACCAAATCATCCCTAGCTCATCCATTTTTCCGCTTTTGCAAGGTAACTAATTTCTAACTTTTTTTTTTTTTTCTGTCAATAATTAATATTATCATTCCATATATACTTTATATGTCTTGTTGAGTAGTAGTTAAGTTTGCTTCAAATAAAAAAAAAAAAGAGTTATGTAATAGTAGTACTAATGTAAATATCAAGTAAAAATAACGTGGTTTATTTGTTAAAAAAAAGTAAAAGTAAAAGTAACATGGTAATTAAAAATGTTATGCAAAGTCAACGATATTCACTCTGATTGACCATTATTGTCACTAGTTAAAAAAGCTTTTTGTAGCAATTGTATGTAACCTTGATCTTGCTCGATCTTCCTCTCAGTTGGCTTGGGTTGACTACCCTCATGGTCAACTGAGGAAGTCTCTGATCATGCATGCATATTGGACACAAGAGACCCCTATTGGTATTATATTTATATATTATCTTAGGCAAAAAGATTATATTAGTATCGACAAAACGTCAAATCCTAAAATCATATTAATTAATACCGATAAAGAAATATATTGATATTTTAATAGGTACCAAATGTGCACTATCTTAGTATTAAAATGGACAAGAACAAAAATGGACGCAAACAATTAAATTACTATAATAATCTAATTAAGCCTAAGCGGTAATTACTTTCATAGCTCCCTCAGAAAACCCTGTAAAAAAAGCTTGTAGGATCTCCTATCTCATTCCTTTAACCCCACTGTGTGTAATGCTAAATTGCTAAGAATGGAATATATTGTCATGTGTATACAGTTTATTACGAGTACTATATAAATATACAATATAAAGATCAGAAAATTTGCTATTGTCATGAAAATATACAAATATATAAAGATATATTTCCATATATGCTGATCAAAATTTCAGTTTAATATAACTAACATCATTTCCAAGAGTTCAGGTATGACCTAAGGGCTAAGATTTTATGGATGTCACTTTGATAGAAAGTTGAGCAATTTGTTATAGCTTTTGCCGCAATTTTATGGACATGCACTTACATACGTATACACTGATACTGGGCATGAGGTATACACTGATACTGGGCATGAGATATGAGACCGATTGATTTGAAGAGCTAAAACAGACCAACTTAAATCCCGTAATCATACATACTAAGCAATGAATTTCACAACCAACTTAAACCGCTTTAAAAGAAAAATTTGCACCTAATTGTTTTTATGGTGTATTGAATTCACACTCTTATTGACTTGTAATTTTAATCTTTTATATCTATATACATAAAGTTTTATAGTTTGGGCCGTCAACAATGACAAGATAGTTTAATTAGTCGTATTTAATATTAAATGCTTAATATTTTGCTTTGAATAATTTGCAGGAAATTTATTTAACGAATGAAGAAATGAAGAGGAAATGGCAGGCACTGCCAAGTGAAAACTACCCAAAACCATTGATATTTCATGATGGAAGATTGGCTCTTAGACCAACACCAATATCCACTTTAGCCCTATTTATGTGGCTACCTTTTGGAATTATCCTTGCCATTTTTAGAGGTGTAATTGCTTTAACCCTTCCACAAAAAGTAGCTACTCCAATCCTAACATTCACTGGCATGAGGCTCCTAACAAGTGCAACAACCCCGAACCCGAAATCATCTTCCAAAGGTGAAAAGGGTCAGCTCTATGTTTGCAACCATAAAACATTGTTAGACCCACTTTTCCTCTCCTATGCACTTAGCAAGCCACTAACCGCGGTTACTTACAGCCTAAGTAGGCTATCTGAGATCCTAGCACCAATCAAGACCGTCCGATTGACTCGTGATCGCGATCAAGACGGGAACATGATGGAGAAGCTCCTAAATGAAGGGGATCTAGTTGTTTGCCCTGAAGGGACAACATGTAGAGAACCATTTCTCTTAAGGTTTAGTCCCTTGTTTGCTGAAATGAATGACAAAATTGCCCCTGTGGCAATGGATTGTCATGTGACCATGTTTTATGGAACAACTGCTAGTGGTCTCAAATGTTTGGACCCTATTTTCTTCCTAATGAACCCACGTCCTAGCTACACCGTCCAATTACTTGAACCCGTTTCCGGCTTGTCTACGTGTCAAGATCGTAGCCAATTGAGGTTCGACGTGGCCAATCGCGTACAAAGAGAGATAGGAGAGTCTCTCAATTTCCAGTGCACTAAACTTACAAGGAAGGACAAGTACTTGATTTTGGCCGGTAACAACGGAGTTGTATGATTAGAGAGTTGTAGCTAGTATTTGTATATTGTTAATTACTTATTATAAGTTTATTTCTTTATTAATTTTGATAGTATTAGTATGTTACTTACAAGCTACAAGCAAAGCTTATACTAGGATTAGTTTTTCTACTTAATTATCAAGATCACATTAGTTTATTCACAACTCTGCATGGACTATATGCAATTAATGATAAATAAATAATTGTATCCATAACATTGTTAATCTCGCATCAACACCTAAAAATGAAACCTTTAATTAATTATTACAAATTTATACACCCAAATTATTCTAAAACAATACATTCTCACTAGCTAGTAGCTAGAATTTTCCGATAGTCTCAACCACCTTGGTCTTGATGTAAATCACATAAAACCGAAATATATGTTTTCCTCACATCTTAGGGCCTATTCTCATAGACTGAACTCAGCTGAACTGAACTGAGCTGAACTGAACTGAAATGAGCTGAGCTGAACTGAATATTTATAAGAGAAGGAAATTAGGATCTGAACTGAACTGAGTTGAGCTGAGCTGAACTGAACTGAAATGAGCTGAGTTGAGCTGAACTGAACTGAACTGAAAATAAACGTATGAGAACAGGCCTTAAATCTATCACTTAATTTAAATCTAGTATATTCAAATAAATAAATTAAAATGATGAAAGGCTAATATGTTCATTTTATAACTTAAAGGAAACAATTTAATGTTAATATATTCAAATAATTATGATAAAATAAGGGCAAGGGAGATAAGCCTTCTTGAAAATTCGACTCACAAAAGTACAGGACTGTAACTTGGTCTTTCATGTACATTCTTGACCATTATATAGTATAATATTATCTTCAATTGTGCATATTTTGTATGGAGTATTTAATAGTAAAAATCTAGAAGAAATACTTAGCAACGAATATACATCTATCAATACCCAATTACACTATAATCGCAATACTTTCTCCTGATTCATAAAATACGAGCAAAGTTATTATGTTTTAATCACATATACTTCCTAGTAATTAGTAAGTGAGTCTCTTAAGAACGAAAGTAATATTATTGAAAAGTTTACAATAAATAGGGTATAGAATAAATAATGTACATCAATTGTAAAGTCTTCCTAAAATGCTACTAAAAAAAAATCTTCCTATAATGAGTAAAAGTAACCGTAACATATATAAAAGTTAAAAATTGATTCAGCCAATTAGATTTTATCCAACAAAACATCTAAATATAATTCAATTTGAAATAAACCCGACCTAATCCAACCCGTTCTAATCCAACCTGTCTTCAATAAATTTGAGGCAAGTATCCGAATTGAGTCAATTGACACCTCTATATTTTGCGAAGTAGGGGTAAAGAAAGTTTAATAACCGACGTATACAAAATACAAGGACGAAACTAGAAGTTGCGAATATTGATATTTCTACTCCACCCTTTTTCACCCCACAGATATATATCAACGGCTGCAAGCTTTCCTTTTTCCTTCTTTCTTCCTCACTTTCTCTCTCCTAGGGTTTCCTCAACCCATAGCACACTCAAAACCCTCTATTTCTCCCCCAAATTTAATTAAAAATTATTTGGGAGGTTTTCGGATCCGATAATCCGGGCTTAAATTAGGGTTTCGTAAATTGAATTGATGGGGACAGAGAGAAAGAGGAAGGTTAGCTTGTTCGACGTTGTTGACGACAACTCCATTAACAAGCTTCCCAAATCTAACGGTGCTGCTGCTCCGATGATGATGAACAATGGAATCGCTAATCTTTCGATTAATCGATGGAATGGAAGGCCCTATTCTCAGCGGTTTTTCGATATTCTGGAGAAGCGTAAATCTCTTCCTGTTTGGCAGCAGAAAGAGGAGTTTTTGAAGGTTCTTCATACTAATCAGACCATTGTTTTAGTCGGTGAAACTGGTAGTGGTAAAACTACCCAGGTTAGTTTTTTTTTTCAATTTAGTTTTAATGAAATTTGGGGTTTTTTTTTTTTTTATCGAAAACCCTAGATAGTTTGTTTGTTTATAATTGTTTTTTCGTTTGATTTTTGGGTATTTTCCCTATGTTTTTAATGTGTAGAAATTAGGGTTTGATTTGTTTGTGTATACGTTCGTATTGATTTGAGCTTGATATTTTGGTAATCATAGCTAGAGTTATTTGTTGGGATTAAATGTCTCTTGCTGAAATTGTAAACCATTGTTTTGCTTACATTAGGTTCTAGGCTATGTAATTGCTATTGCGTATTTATCTATGATATTTTACTTGATACACATTCGCTATCTATAAATACAGATTATTTACTTATTTTGGGATTCAAATTTTCCTAGAATTACAAAAGGGGTTAGAGATATCGTAAGAATATGGCTTTTGTTTAGAATAATATAATCTGAAGGTGGTTTAGTGTGAAGTAGCTGTAAAAGGGAGGCATTTGTTATTAAACATTTGATGGTTGTACGATTGACTTGTGGGTGGAGTAAAACAGAGTCTAGGATGTCGAACATTTATCTGTATTATGGTCTAGGTGTGTTGTCTAGGAATTTTAACTTGCAGAGGGTTGGTTTTATTGTCGTTGCATTTTTTTGGCATGAATTATTGAGAAAATGTTAACATGCTTGTATATCTTTGGTAAGGGAAATTAAATGTGACAAATTTTTTTTTCTGACTTGCTATGTATGTCTTGATCAGATTCCGCAATTTGTTTTGGAGGCTGTGGAATTAGAGTCTTCTGATAAACGAAAAAAGATGATGGTTGGTTGTACTCAGCCACGTAGGGTGGCAGCAATGTCAGTCTCACGTAGAGTTGCAGAGGAAATGGATGTGACTTTGGGAGAAGAAGTTGGTTACAGCATTCGTTTTGAAGACTGTAGTAATTCAAGAACGGTTTTGAAGTATGCATGTCCTTTTATGATTCAATTTGTGCCTTTTCTTGAAAATGATTATTTACAATTGTGCGGTTACTAAGTTCCATGTATTCTGTATTGCAGGTATCTGACAGATGGTATGTTGTTGAGAGAAGCAATGACAGATCCTCTTTTGGAGAGGTATAAAGTTATAATTCTTGATGAAGCTCATGAAAGGACATTGGCAACAGATGTGCTATTTGGGCTTTTGAAGGAAGTGTTACGAAACAGACCAGACTTAAAGTTAGTTGTTATGAGTGCTACTCTTGAGGCTGAGAAATTTCAGGATTATTTTAATGGTGCTCCTCTTATGAAAGTTCCTGGAAGGCTGCATCCTGTGGAAATTTTTTACACCCAGGATCCTGAAAGAGACTACCTTGAGGCTGCTATTCGAACCGTTGTACAAATACACATGTGTGAACCTCCTGGTGATATACTTGTTTTCCTCACTGGAGAGGAGGAGATTGAGGATGCTTGTCGTAAAATTAATAAAGAAGTGGGAAATTTAGGTGACCAAGTTGGACCTGTGAAAGTTGTTCCATTGTATTCTACTCTTCCTCCTGCTATGCAGCAGAAGATATTTGAAACTGCTCCTCCTCCAACAAAAGAGGGAGGTCCTCCTGGGAGGAAAATTGTGGTGTCTACTAACATTGCTGAAACATCTTTGACCATTGATGGTATAGTATTTGTGATTGATCCTGGATTTGCTAAACAGAAAGTCTATAATCCCCGAGTTCGTGTTGAATCACTATTGGTTTCTCCTATATCGAAGGCAAGTGCACACCAGAGGGCTGGTCGTGCTGGAAGAACACAACCTGGTAAATGCTTTAGGCTATACACAGAAAAAAGTTTCCATAATGATCTCCAGCCGCAGACTTATCCAGAAATTCTGCGGTCAAATCTCGCGAATACTGTACTTACTCTGAAGAAGCTTGGTATTGATGATTTGGTACATTTTGACTTTATGGACCCCCCAGCTCCAGAGACTCTGATGCGAGCTTTAGAGGTGTTGAATTATCTTGGTGCATTGGATGATGAAGGTAATTTGACTAGGCTTGGAGAGATTATGAGTGAATTTCCTTTGGATCCCCAAATGGGAAAGATGCTTGTCGTGAGTCCTGAGTTCAACTGTTCAAATGAAATCCTTTCAATATCAGCAATGCTTTCAGGTAATCTTTTGTCTCTTGTCTATTTGCATGTTAGTTTAATTATTGAGTCTCATGTCACATTTTAAAAACTTGTTTTGGCTGTCTGTGAGGGGCAAGGATTGTCCCTGACAGCATCCCTGTCCATTATTTCCAAGTCGTCTATACATGCATAGGCTACGTCTATGCATGTGTCAATTGTTTTTAAGTCGTCTATACATGCATAGACGATTAGACGTCTATGCATGAATTGCATTGCATGTCTGTGAGTCGGTATAGGTCACTGTCTATGCATGAATTGCATTGCATGTCTGTGAGTCGGTATAGGTCACCATCAGCAACTATCTAGTCTGGGTTCCATGCCCCTGGTGGCATGTGCCATAGATTTTCTAAGTAAGTGCTGATGCAGATAGATCCAATTTCTCAGTTTTTTCTCATCAAGCAAATGGTCTGGTCTCGCCTCTATGCATCTGCTGACCTTCCGTGGGCCTCGTCTGTGATAACAATTACTTTATCTAGTTCCCAATTGCTTTGTGAGGCCTAGGGAGGCCCAGAAAGCTGCAGATGAAGCAAAAGCTAGGTTTGGACACATTGATGGAGATCACCTTACGCTGTTGAACGTCTATCATGCCTACAAGCAGAATCGTGAGTGCCTATTTTTCTCATTTTCTTGTCCTTTTTGCTTATGGTTAATATTTTTTTTTCTTGGTTGGTCCTGCTCACCTTTTCTTTCCTGTACTTCACAGAAGAAGACCCAAACTGGTGTTACGAGAATTTTATCAACCAGAGGACATTAAAGGCTGCAGATAATGTGAGACAGCAACTTGTGCGCATTATGGCAAGGTTCAACCTGAAGTTATGCAGTACCGATTTCAACAGCAGGGATTACTATGTCAACATACGGAAGGCAATGCTGTCAGGATATTTCATGCAAGTGGCTCATCTGGAAAAAACAGGACACTATCTGACAGTGAAAGATAACCAAGTGAGTACATAATTTTTTTGCTCCCCACTCTGTACTAGTGTCTTCAGAAGTTCATATTATGACACTGTAGCTAGCAAAAAAATAAAATCCAAATGCTCATGTTTATTTCATTCATGCATTCCAATTGTTTGTTGATGAATGGATGTTTGGATCCCTTCCCCCCATTCCCCTCCGAAATAATGACTTTATTTATAACTTCATGCTCAAACATCTGGTATCTCCCTATAGGTGGTTCACTTGCATCCTTCAAATTGCTTGGATCATAAACCAGAGTGGGTTATATACAATGAATACGTGTTGACCAGCCGGAATTTCATTCGTACTGTCACTGATGTCCGTGGAGAATGGTTAGATCATCCTGTCCTTGAAATACCACAGCTTGGCTATTATCAATGATCTTTTGTTATAAGGCCTTTTTTTTTAAAATATATATATATATATATATATATATTTTTTTTTTTTTTTTTTTTTTTTTTTTTTTTCTGAACAGGCTTGTTGATATTGCACCACACTACTATGACCTTGAAAACTTCCCCAATTGTGAAGCAAAGCGGGTTCTGGAGAAGCTTTACAAGAAGCGTGAGAGGGATGGGGAAGAGAGCAAGAACAGGAGGTAGGAGATATATTATTCAGAATATTCACCTCATAGTTCTTCCTGTACTTCTGGGACATGGAGAGCTTTGGAAATGCACCTTGTTGAGGAGTTTTTGTTCTTGCTATTTCATCATTTCAAGGTGGGATTCGTGACGCTCCCAAAGGCTGCAGTCATGTCCTGTTCTGATTAATTTTAGAATTCTAGTGGTTGGCCTTTTGTAATGGAAGTTGCTTTTACTTGGAGTGTAACTTAGTTATAATTACAATGTCGTGCAAATTGTTACCTTCTGTCTTTTATTTATTTAAATAATACCATCTTAGTTTATAAAATTGTTTGGAATAGTATTTTCTTGCTTGATACTTGCTGCAATATTTCTATTTACTTGCGTGAATGACGAATCTATCTTTGATTTGAAAAAAGAAAACTTTTTTGGAAGGTAAAGAATTAGAGTTAGGCCTGTAGAAAACTATTTTGAGTATTCTGTGGCATCTAATTTTTTAGAAATCCAATCCAAAATTTCATTTTGTTGTTTTTTCAAATGTATAGCACTTTCGGGGTTGGCCTTTGGTTTTGTGTGGCTGGAGCAGAGGTACTAGCAAAAGGGATTAGAAATGATATGGCAAAATAAACATTATCTAATAGTTGATCCGGACTCCACTGATGTAAACAAATAATGGCTTTCTGGCCTTGGAACATTCCTTGGAGAATTTTGGAATCCGAAAACATGGTGTGAGCATATCAGTTATTCCTAATGTGTTTCCTCATTACTCATTCGAGCATGGGAGTTGAAGACTTGAGAATTTAAATAGATATATAGTTCCCCTTCTAGGTTCAGGCTTCACTTGCATCTTCGTGCGAGCTCCCAAAACTGACCCCCTGAACCTTTTGATCATTGGGTTTTTATCCATCGTGGCCTTGTGGGTAAGGTCTTAGATACAGTGTAATAATGGATTTGAAGTACCAAAGTTCCCTTCTAGTAATTCATTCTAATCAGGTAATTCGTGTCTGCAAGACAACTGGGGCTGGTGACTAAGTGCAGAAGAAGTAGGAAAGAAGCCATCTCAGCCAGCCAAATGGTGGCATATCATTCAATTCTGTATGACCATAGCAGAGCCCCAAGTTTCTTTCTGGTTTCATTGTGAAAGAATCAGTACTTCAATGAAGCGATTTTCTGTCTCCTTGACATCCACAGGGAACTGAAAACTCCAATCTCCTGCTGCTTTCAGATGTATAAACCAAATTACATGGATTTTGACTTCAAGCATCTTTGAGAGAGCAAATATCAACTTGGATCTCTTAATGACTGAAGTTTGATGATTCTGTGCCTGAAGATCAATGGATGACAAACAGTGCATGCTTGTTCAAATGAAATTACTTGATTTTGACACAGTATGCTCTCCAGGCATTATTCAATCGTCTTAATATGTGGGTGTGCAATAAAGATATGGTCATACCAAGTATGCTGTCTACTTTCAGAATTCAGATCGGTTTCCAGCTCTATTTAACCAATCCAACTGCCAGCCTTTTGCTTTTTCATGTGTTCATATTCCATCTGTTTAATATCTGTCAAAGAGCTCCACATTCCTCTTTCACCAAGGATCTTTGAAAGCACCATATATGCAGCAGGGTGATTTCCTGCCAAGTCGTGGAGTGCATCTGCAGCATTACTGCCAAATTCAAAATCTGAATGCAAGCCACACGCTGCAAGCAATGCACCCCATATAACAGTATCCGGCTCGAATGGCATGTGGTCAATTAAGCTCTTTGCCTTGTCAAGGTGACCTGCTCTTCCATAGAGATCTACCATGCAAGCATAATGCTCTTTTTCTGGATGTATGCCATGAGTTTTTTCCATGCAAGAAAAGACTTTTTCCCCTTCTTCAACTAGACCTCCATGGGCACAAGCAGATAAAATGTTGGTAAATGTTATGTTATTTGGCTTCACCCCACTGCTAATCATTTTCTCAAATTCATCCAGTGCTGTTCGTGCTCGCCCATGCCTGGCATGACAGCCTATTATAGTATTCCAAGACACCAAATTCTTGCCAGGCATTTGCTCAAATATACAATACGCTGCTTCAATGTCTCCACATTTGGCATACATATTGATAAAGGCAGTCACCAAGACATTATCAACAAGTATACCCTGCTTCACTATGGTTGCATGAATTTGCTGTCCTGTACGAAGTTCAGAATGCTTAGCACAGGCAGTTAAAATGCTTGCAAATGTGTGCGGATTTGGCTGAGGGCCGGATTTCATCATCAGAATAAACAGCTCTAATGCATCCAAACACTTGTCTACTCCCACATACCCAGAGATCATAGCAGTCCATGAAACGACATTCTTTTCGTTCATCTTATCAAAAACATACCTAGCTCTTTCAACCTCATTATTCTTCAAATAACCATCAACCATGGTAGTCCAAGAAACCACATCTTTCTGAGGCATCTTGTTGAAAGCTCTCTGAGCTTCATCAGTAAAACCCAAGTTCATATAACCCAAAATCAACGCGTTCCATACACTATTATCTTTGTCTAATATATCATCAAACAACCCACATAAAGCAGAATGATCCTCCAAATCTGTATAACCCCTCATCAATGCTGATCCAACATAAACACTAGAATAATGACCAAACGAAATAATCTGAGCATGAAGCTGAGGAATCAATACATTGGATACACTACCCAAAATCGAACTAATCACTATCGAAAAGGTGTACGGAGTTGGCCGAAAACCAGAACTCTGTATCTGAAAGTAACACTGGTAGATACTCTTGTGATCTTTCTTCTTCTGAAGACCAGAAATCCAGGTATTCCAAGAGACAATATCTCTTTGAGGCATTTCATCGAACATTTGGCGGGCAACATCAATATGATTCTTTTTAATATGACCGGCAATCATCATATTCCATGAAACAACATCTCGAGAACTGGGATTGTCATCAAAGAGCATTTGAGCATCGTTAAGTTGGGAATTTTGAAGGGAAATCTTTATCATTTGGTTTAAAGTAGCCGGTTGAAGGGTAGTTATTTGGCGGTAAAATTTGAGTGAATATTTTCTGTTTGCTATGCTTAACAACATTATAACTTTATTATTTTTGGTGTAACGAAAAATTATTATAAAGTTTTTATGTTGTGACCTAAGTTGGGGGTGTTAATGAGCTAAACAGACCCAACCGTTCAACCCAAATAGGCATATATTGCATACAGCCAAGCTCTATCTTATTGGAGTTTGAGCTTTTAGTTGCGCTAAAAAAAAATTAGGATGTTTAATCTAACTCGCTTTTAAAAGTATTTAAGTTGAGGATATGGAGTTTTTAAATGAGTTTTAATCTTTTATACAAGTATATTGTTTGATATGATTGGCTATTTAGTTTCAAGAATTTTCACAATTTCAATTTTATTTCATCTTTAAAGTAATTAGGCTGAGAATATCAAGCTCGTGAATAACGTGGTTGCACGATCTTAATGATGAAAGTTCGAGTTTAACTCTTTTTAGGTGGATTCTATTAAAACTCTCTAATTAAAAACCAAACAACAGATTTGAATCATGTTATCATCTCGTATTAATTAAGTTGTGCTATTATCCAACTTCAATTCTTAATTTTAAGTCAATTATCATATACTGAGTAAGAATTGAAGTACAAGCAGTAACATTATGCAGCATCATGAAACGTTACAAAACAAAGAAATCAATCTAATTGATGATAAAACTCAGTGACTTTCCATTTTCTTCAAACTCTGGCCTCAAATACAAACTTTATACAGAAAGTTAGAAAATGCTCCTAGCCTTCTTCACTGTTTATTCTTCTTAAACAGCTGCACACGAAAACATTATATCGAATTTGCATTTGTCGTTCAGCACTTCCCTTTAGCCAAAGTGTTGTACAAGTCATCAATTTCGGCCTGTACATGGTTTGAAAGATAAATCAGGAAATATCGCGTGAAATCAAAGCTACTTGTGGAATGAATAAAGTGTTTAGTTTGTTACCTGATAGTGTTTTAACATTTTATCCCTTCTCTTCTTCATAGTTGGTGTCATTAAGCTTGGTATTAATTCAAAGGTCTGAGGTTCTATAACAACTCCCTTGACATGCTCGAAACCTCTAAGCTGTTACAAGAATGATTGACATGTTCAGAGATCTACTCGTGTTAGATAAGTTTAGTATATATAAGAAGGTTGTATGCACCTTGTTTCTTTCCGCAGCAACTGTAAGCTCAGAGAGGACATAATTTCTGAACTCCTTAAGGGAGCAGAAGTCAGTGAATGTGCCTTTACATCCATTTTGAGCTGCCCATTTCTTCGTATTATCTTCATTTGGCACCACAACAGCAACCAACATCGACTTAAAGCTATCTCCATAGACCCAAATCTTCATAAAGACACCAAAAAAATTAGTTCCTAGAATAAGAAAGACCTTAGACTATTAACTGTGATGAGATTTAATTACATATATCAAATAGATAAGCACAGAAGAAGAGGTTATAAGTTATCTCAGAAGAGGCTTTACATCTTCAACAATGGGAGTAATGCTGTATACTTTCTCCAAGTACTCAAGCGCGACATACTCTCCTTGTGAGAGTTTTATCAGATTCTTCTTTCTATCAATGATCTTTATTGTTCCATTAGGAAGCATCTCACCAATGTCACCTGACAATTTATAAAGAAAGAATTTATGTAAATTTTTAAGCTAAGGAAAGAAATCTGACAGAAGCAGGAACCAGGCAGACGCTTAACCTGAATGAAACCACCCATCTCTGATAGACTCTGTAGTTAACTCAGGGTTTTTGTAGTATTCAGAAAACAGTGTTTTTCCCCTCAAGCATATCTCCCCGCGTGGGGGATCAGCCAGTGGGTGGTACCCCATCTCCGGAACCTCTTCAAGGCGCATTTCTGTGTATACAGATGGAGCACCGACAGCTCCTAGCATCGACATTTCATCAGGGTAGCAAACTGTGGACAATCCACAGGTTTCTGTCAATCCTGCACAAAAACCAGAAATTTGATCAATGCAATGCCTATCTATAAGAAAAACTTAAAATGAAGTTTACAAGTCAAATTATATTACAGATGAAGGAATAAGCAGGCTAAAGTTTTCCTTTACCATAGCCTTGAAGTACAAAACAACAGCAAGTAACCCGCAAAAACTCCTCCACTTCTTCGCTCCAAGGTGCAGCTCCACATACCATAAGCCGAACCCTACCACCTAGCTTGTTCTTCACCTAAATTAGTTGCAGACATTGTACTATGAGTAGAGCATTGCAGTACAAATAATAATAAGTGTCACACTCAGTTATAAATATAATTGTTCAGCTGAAAATAACACATGAAGCACTGAAATCAGTAAACAAGAGCTGATAAAAGTTATATTCTGAAGAATATTAAAGCACAAAGTAGATCAGAATGTGAAATCAGATCAAAGGCAATAACCTTTCTGAAAGCTAGTAAATCTGCTAAAGGAGATGCATGCTTGTGCTTGTATCCTCGATTCATCCAGAATAATTTGCTGCACATTATAAACCACTTATCATAAGTATTTTGTTTGTGCTAGGGAACTAAAATGTAAACAGAACATTAGCAACTTACTATTTGTAAAGAAGGTGAAAAATCTTCCTCCTCCTCGGAATAAGATCTTCAATTGCCTTCTGTATGCCTGGTGAACACACAATTAATTAGTAAACTTCCATCGGTACAAGCCTGATCAAAGAGGGAGGACCGAGTATAAGAACATGCCTTCATACACACGGTCAAAAACTCTAGGTACACCAGCAAAAAAAGTTGGCTTTAACTCCATGAGGTCGTCACTGATTTCTTTTACATTCTGTATTGCAAGTCAACAACACTCATAAAACACGATATAAGCTGAGGAAACTTTTGTAGCAGAGTATTCTGTTTCTTGGTGGTACGTGTTATAAGATATGATATAATAGAGTAGCAAGAGTTCAAGAATACCCCGTGAAAGAAGCCAACAGAAGCACCCTTATGAAAAAAATATTCTTCTATCACGCGATCTAATATGTGAGCCAGGGGAAGGAAGGAAAGATACACATCATTTACTGTCATCTGTTCAAGAATACGTAATTAATCATATTATTGCATGATAAAGAGCCAAAGATCACAGAACTATGTATGCACGAGGTTGGTTAATGGTTACCTTGTCATCAAATTGTTCCAAGAAAAGATCCAACCCGCTTAAAAACATAGCCATGTTGTCATGTGTTAGAACAACACCTTTAGGATCTCCACTGGTGCCGCTGGTGTACATAATCGTACAAATATTGATTGGTTGTGGCGGAACAGTCTCTGATGGATTCTCCTTGCCCTATTAGAACATTATGACCAGATATATTGAAAGCCGATAAGGTTAACAGCCAACTACTAACTTAGAACACAAGTTAAAAACAAAGCACACAGTCTGACCATTTGGAGATACTGATTCCAAGAGTACGCCTCAATTCCTGCATTACGAGCCTTGAGATTTTCTTCCTCAGTGAACGATGTAAAACAAACAATGGCTGCAATAATAATAATAATAATAATGTCATTAAAAATCCAACTTGTTAATTCAGTTCGTTTAAACAAACCAATTCTAAGGTTAAAGCATTTACACTTACATTTCAGCCTAGTAGTGGAAGAACAATCAGGGTTAAGTAGCTGTACACAACACAAGCACAACAGCGAATCAAGCCATACGAAATTAAACCTCTAAACGAAGCAAAAACCCGTACGAGTATAGAAATATAGAGTTGTTGTACACATACTTCGTTAACCTTAAGGGAATGGACGAAAACATAATCAATCTCAGCATGATCAATTATGTAATTTATAGCACCAGGACCTGATTAGACAATATAACAACAGTAGTTTAGATGAAATAATCTCATTAATCTTGTTTCAACAAATTAGTTTAGAGTTAATTAATTAATTCTTACCTAAGGTATCATAGAGAGGCACACATATCAAACTGTGAGCGTTACAAGCCTATACACAAAACAAAATTTTTTAAGGTACTATAATGTACTTAACATAGTATACGTATTAATTTATTCTTATAAAAATTTATGAAGCAAACTAAACTAACCTCCATTGCCATAATCCATTGAGGACAATTAACACCATATATTCCGACCTTTGCACCCTGTATTAATTTATGGTCAGCAAGAATATTGATCATGTAAGAATATATAACCGACAAAATATTATTAAAAATAATAATAATTATAATTCTTACAGGTTGAGCCCCACATGCCCGTAATGCTGAACCAATGTTTAGAACTTCTTCATAAACTTCCTTGTAAGTTTTCCAGACATAAGGCCCCCACTATTTAACATTTTCACCCAAAACTAATTAGCTAATACGAGTATTTACTAATATACTATGATCAAAATTACAGAAATTAAAATTAACCCTTTTTATTTATTTTTTTAAATTACTTTTGTAAGTTATTACCTTGCCACTGACCATTTCACGCCAACCCAACATATTATTTCCTGCATACTTTTCAGCTGATAGCCTACAAAATTAAAGATAAATTCGAATATATATTAGACGGAAATTGTCACGTCATTACTCAATAAAAGTCATCTCATTATCAGTGCAGTGTACTACGAAGGTGCAACCTTAGCTGATTACCATGAAAGGAACAAAAAAATCACTCATTTAACCAAACACAAAATCCTACCCTAGAGAAACTTAAAGGTGAAAAAACAATTTACCTGAAGGAATCCCAAGCAGTAGAAACATCAGGAAGAGGTGGTGGGAATTCATTCTTGGCGAGAAGATTCCGATAAATTGGACCGACGGCGGGGCGGCCGTCTTGTCCATCTCTTCCACTACCTACTTGTACTGAGAATCTCTTGGTGGTCATAGCTTATATATATGATTCACTGTGGTTCACCAACCTTAATTATGTTAATATTTGACCTCAAAAGAAGCATAGAATACAGAATCAAAAATATAGCCACATGTTGGTACGTACAATATTAACCATGATAGGTCAATTTTGTTTTCGTTGTTTTATTACTTTCTTTACAACATATACGTTAAAGATAAAGTTGATGAGGTCAGTTGGTAATAAATAAGTGGTGAATTCAAGCTAACTTTTTAAGGTCATTTAATAAAGCTGGTGAAAACTTCGTAAATAATGTGTGTGTTTCTACTTTATAACAATGCAACTTTGCATTGTGCATTGATCAATCACACTAATTTTGCTCAACCCTAATTTCCTCCTTGGTTATTTGCCTTACGGTTTTTGCAATACTAGTATGATCAAAACTAGCCAGTCAGTTGTTCACACGTAACAAATACATAAAAACGAACCATTTCTATCTAACACGCAAAAAGAAAGAAAAGAAAAACACTACCTAATTAATTAATAAATACCAAGTATAATTTAAAAGAAGCAATTTTTTTAAAAAAAGGAACAAAATTTACAAGGAAAAAAGGAGAGTGTAATGTATGAAGTAATGAGTTGGAGGCTGGTTGAACGTTGCGAAAGGCCGAATTATAATGTAATGATGAGTATAGCTGAGGGATGTATGATATCTACTACTCGTACATAAGATGATGAATTTATAAGATGAATTTATAAGATGAATTGATGACCCAAACAAAATGGGGTGTTTGGAATTAGATGGATGAAATTAGGGAGTTGAGGAAGAAAAGGACAGGTTAGTTGAGAAGGCATTTAAAGTGCTTTGTGTAGTTAATAAAAAAGAGGATATGTACACCATCTCCTCAGACTTCTCAATAAGTTCTCATCAATGTGACGTTCCTTTTTTCTTTTCGACGTTGATCATTTTTTTGTTGGAAACCAAACTTCCAAATACAAGTGCGTTTTTATTTTTATGTTATCGATCATTTCAAAGTATTCGTACATGAGATGATTTTTACTTTCATGTTTTTAGTAATGTACTACGAGTATAGGTTTTTAATAGTGTGTCTATAGAAGGCTACAAGTTTGGTTTGGCCATATGTTGAATATTATTGTTTGATTGTTTGTAATTATGCACTAATCCAATATCCTAATCTTTCTTAATTAGCCAGTTTGAAATTAGTTGTCGCACTTTCTAGTGTTACTATATTATCAATTCCATATTAAGTTTTTGAAATGTAATTAATGTGAGGATTTAAATGTTTGGTGAAATGTCATGCACTTAGTAATTGCATTATAACTACTTGACAATGCAAAGTATCTACCTTGTACTAATTAAGCTACACAAATTTAAATTAGTATGTAGGACTATTAGGGCACATCAATGGACTTGCATTGCATTTCGATCACCTAAACTCTTTTATGATCAAACAATCAACAGCATTAATAAATGTTGTAGGAACAGATTGATCGAGCAATTCCTTTCACATACATATGGTTCTTTAATTTGATTATATAGAAAAGCATTGATTATATATTATTGATCGTTTGATATAGCTAGGTGTGCTATGATATATGGCCAAAGAAGCTACGGGTTTAAATTGGTAGATATGGTATTGTTATGAAATGGACTGCTGATTTTGATTTGGATTGCCATTTTGCTGTGTTTTAATTTGTTTGATTGCTATCCAATTCAATGTTGATTGTAATATCTATATATCTATCTATCTATCTTATTAGCTTGCACGTTGCTGCGCTGGTTGAAGCCCTTCTAGGATAGGCTTCCATTAATTCGCCGCTAATTTTTCAAACATTAAAGTTATTACTTAATTCTAATAGACTAAGTTTAATGATAATAAGGTAGCACAAGCTAAGCTAGATTATGACATGAGTTAAGTGTGCTCCGCAGATGCTGCCACACAGAATATGTGTGAAAGAATTCCCAATTGTAATCACAAATTTAGGGAAGTTAACAAGTCTAATACAGTTAATTAGCCTTCTTAGCGATATACGTTATTGTAGTATGGGTTGTTGAGTAATGAATACGGAGTACTATTTTCTCTATTAACAACTAATGATATGATAAAATTTCTAGTACAAATGCACTTAACAATTAACTTGCACAACTCTACTTAATTAGTTCAAATTCATGTAAATTCAACATACCAATCAATTCAGCATAAGCAAATCTTTAGCAGTTCCGCATGCAAGTCTTTAATTAACTAATTTAGTTGACATCTGCCAAGGGTTATGTGTCTCATACGGTCGTACCCCATACGTTACAATTCAACAAATATTTATTAGCATGCAGTTTTCATCTTTCAATTAACAAAATATTGTAATGCATATCTACTTTTCAATGATTAATTGCGCCAAAAATAGCAGTATAGTGGAAAATGAGTGAGAGGGACCAACTTAAGGGTTTTAGACTTTTAGTAGGTTACTTATTAATTTTGTATTAAATTATTACACCAAAAACATGTGTATTAAAATAAATATGATTTTTTTGTAGATGCATAATTTTTTAGTAATAATAATGAAATATCCTTTGTTAAACATCTAAAAACAACAAAAATAGCCTTTTTTTTTTTTTTTTTTAATTTTCTTACAACAAATAGTTAGTTGCACTCTCTCATTCCTCAATTTACATATTGCTTGCTAAAGTAAGGTATTTATATTAAATTCAAGAAATAAGGAGTGTAGATGTCTAGGGGTAAATTAAATAGTTAAAGGAATTTCTAAAAACCTGTTGATAGTGGGAGAGAAAATGTAAGGGAGATAACTAGTAAAAAGGATTCACATCACATGCATGTTGCATAATATAATATATATGTTATTTGAGGATGTGAAAAGCATTAATCTTGATTTCAAAATATCAGCAAATGAATTCAACGATTATACGAACTAGTGTGTGTTTTCCAAGGGATTGTGTGAACCCTTCTCTTCCACGTAAGTAGTCACCAATTGTTGTCTGGTACGATATACTGTATATGTTATGATTGGAATTTGGAAGGATTAAATTCTTTTTATGCTGTATTTGATTATTTGAACTATTTCCATCAAAGGTTATATTTGGCCTACGTGCTACCTTAGCATCTTTTAATGTGTTCATACTTTGGATCGGTACAAGCACCTAATTATTAGTAGATTGTAGATGGATTGGATACATGTTGCTTTCAATGCTATTAACAACTTTAACGTGTCTAATGGGTACATGTTGTGAACTACATCAAAAGAAAAACACTTTTTCTACTTTTGTGCTTGATAGTTGATACTGTGATTCTATCATTGTTACTATACACTATAAACATGCAAGAATATTCAATTCCATCCCCCACATAAACTCTTACGATTAGATTACTTCATTGTTACTAGCTCTTTTAGCTTATTTATATGCTTAAACATATAATCAACACTTGCTTGCTTGGTTCGTTGTTCTACGTATAAACTTACTTGGTCGTCACATTTTTTGTCTTTTAACAGTGTTTTTTAATTGCTCTATTATTGTCTTTAGTCATATTAACAAATAATAAGGTTGTGTTCATTAAAATAATTCAATGTGAAATTGTGATACATAGAGATGTTTTGGTCTCCACCTCATCAAGTTTATATTTAAATGAGGTCTGTCTGATACACTAAATATGAAAGATACCTTTGACATTAAACTCCGACTAAATTAATTTGATACGAATGGAGCACATAAAACCTTCCCATTAGACGTCCCCTTCAATAACAGATTTATTATGACTCATCATTCTCATAACCAAAAGATTTTCAATAATAATTATGAATATTGTCATCACACATCCCTATAAATATATAGAAAGGCAATCTCATTATCTGATAATACTCGTCACTTATTATACACAAAACTCTTCTACTTATTATTTTCTTTTGGTTCTCCACCTTATGCTAAAGATAATGAGATAGTTGTTCTCGAGAACACCCCTAGGGTAGCTCACGTTCTTTCTTTTGCAAGTCATATAAGGTAACGACTTTAATTTGGTAAGACTCCTAAACTTTTCTTCGTTAATCTCTTCACATAAATCAGAATTAAATACTAAAGAGGAAATTTTTCTTGTTTTTTTTTTTTTACTTGGAATTTATGAGTTACAATAATGTATTACTTGGTTCTTCATTCTGACATATTACAAGTTACTTAGTGTTATACGAGGTGTGGATTCGATCTATAGATAACTTGAGGTTGGTGGCTTCAATTACTGAGATCAGTTATATCGCCAACGACTCTATCACAACATGCATGTGTAATGTGTAATTGCGTATGTATCACCAATCAAATTCTGAAAATGTGTGTAAAAAAATACTAGTGTAATTTGGCCCCCAATATAGAAAGTCTGAAAGCAGAATACAAGTATAAAAATATAAGATCTGTCTAATATCTTCACTTAACAAAATTACATTTTCTTTACAGGAAAATTAAATTTAAAACTTAAGTGATTATATATCTAATTTCCACGCTATTACAAACTGTATTAGATTAATTTAAGCATGCGACATTAATACAAGCAAAGACATTCAGTCATAAACTATTACTATATTAAGTTTTACCGAAATTCTTAATTACAACATGCTTGTATCATCTCATTTGTATGTTGTTTAAGACGAGATTGACGGCCACCATGCTACTTTTGATTGCTTCATATTTCAAGTGGAGTGCATAGTGCATTAATTGAGGAATGTTCAATTAGTCCTTCTACTATTGCGTGGGAAGGAGGGGAATTGAACAAGTGCAATAATGCAATAAAAACAATTGAATAGTATGATTTTTTAGGTACTTCAGTTGGTTGGTTGCTCACTTATATACATACACATATGTAAGTTATTACTCCCTCCGTCCCATAATACTTGGGACGTTAGGATGAACACATAGTTTAAGAAAATTATAAGTGCATCCATTTAAAACATTTTTTACGAGTATTATATGAAGGATTATCTTTTATTATATTTAAATATTGTAAGAAAACAAATGTAGGGAAGGTGGGGGTAGTGAGGACTATGAGGAGAGAAAAAAAATGTAGGAACTAATTGGTTTTTTGGGTTTGTTGTCTCAAAAAGAGTATTAGAAAATATTTTATATTAAGTAATGTATTAAGTATTTTGAGATGGACGAAAATGAAAATTGTGTTAAGTATTATGTGACGGATAGAGTATTATATGAACTGCTGAAAAAAGAGAAATTACTATGCTTGATTGTTAAAAAGGAACTCAACTAATATAATAGTCTAATCACAAAGTACGTTAGTGTGCTCGAATTATGTATTAACATGTATCACCTTTGCAATGTGTTTATACTTTATTGGTCAATAAATGAACGAAACATGTTGTACATTGCTTACGATCTGATCACTCTGCTAGCTAGCTCCATGTTAATTGGACCATTTTAATTAAGACAATCCATGCATATTGCCGTCTACATGCATTCTCTGATTTGTTGCCTTCTTGGCTGGCAACGGTGGCGTAATTGTAACAATACTGTGGTGAAAGTCAAATTGTTACAAATAATATTACGTTCTCGATCTTATCTTAATTAATATAGTTGAATTATATGGATTGAAATGAAGTAAATGATAGTACGTAATAATGTACTACGTACGTTCATACGCAAGATTAAATGAATAAGTACTTTGTCAAAACCTCCATAAGCATGGCTGCATGGGTGTAACAAATTGATTGCACAAAAATAGCATAAAACTCTATTCTTCTTCAAGGTACAGCTTGTCTTTGGATCTCTCTCATCAATCAATATAATCACTATCCATTGCAATCA